ACCAACACCATTTTTAAAGAATAGTTTTATCGGGTAGTGAATTCTTATGTGACAGTTCTTTTTTCTTTTAGCACTTTGAATATACCATTTCACTGTCTTCCACTACCATTGTTTCTTTTTTCCCCTACCACCATTGTTTCTGATGAGAAGTTAACTATCAATTGTATTGTTTCCACAAATATGATGCATAATTTTTTCTTTTGCTGCTTGCAAGACTATGTCTTTTCTTTGACTTTCAGTATTTGGACCATGAGTGACTCACTTATGTTATGTTGGTTTCATTTAGTTTCTTGACTGTCCTAGTCAGTTTGGGCTACTTACAAACAACAGGAATTTATTTCCCACTGTTCTGAACATTAGGAAGTCCAGATCAAGGTGCCAACAGATTTGATGTCTGATGAGGACCTGCTTCATCGATGGCTATCTTTTAAAAATATATATATTCTTATTGATTTCAGAGAAGAAGGGAGAGGGAAAGGGAGAGAGATAGAAACATCAATGATGAGAGAATCATTGATCATTAATCAGCTGCCTCCTGCACACTCACACTGGGGATCGAGCCCGCAACCTGGTCATGTGCCCTGACCAGGAATCGAGCCATGACCTCTTGGTTCATAGGTCAATGTTCAACCACTGAGCTACACTGGCCAGGCAATGGCTATCTTTTTGCTATAACCTCACATGGTGGAAGGGAGGAGGAAGCTCTCTCAGGCCTATTTTATAACGACACTAATTCTTATTCTTTTCCAGAATATAAAACTGAGAGACTTTATTTCTATCCAACTTACATGACCAAATCATTTTTCAAAGGCTCCACCTCCTAATGTCATTATATTGGGCATTATGTTTCAACATATGAACATACATTCACACTGCAGCATTGGTTCTCTAAGTCAATGTTATTTATTAACAATGGAGAATTTTCAACTAGCGTTTCTTCAAATAATTTTTCTGTGTCTTTTTTCTTTTTCCTCTCTTTTGGGACTCCTATTACATTTATATTTAAACACTTTATATTGTTTGTCAGGTCTTTAAGGCTCTGTTCATTTTACTTACCCCCTTTTGCTTTCTTTCTTTCAATTGGATAACTTTTATTGCTGTATCTTCAAATTCACAGCTTCTTTCTTCTGCCATCTTAGGTCAGCTGTTGAGCATAACTAGTGATTTTCAATGTTAGTGTAGGTAGTTTTCAGCCCTAGAAATTCTTGATTTTTTAAATAATTTGCACTTCTCTGTTGAGATTCCCTTTCTGTTGACTCACTGTTAATATAAATTGTTTTAATTCATGAAGCATAGTTTCCTTTTATTCCTTGAACAGAACTGAAACAGCTTGGAGTGAGAATCTATTCTTCTTACTGGTTACAGTTTCCTGTTTCTTCATGCATCTAGTAATTTCTAGTTGAAAACTGGACATTGTAGCAACTCAGAATTCTGATTTATTTTCCCAAAAATGGTAGGTTGGTTGGTTGGATTTTTTACTGACTCACCTGCATTTGAATTGCAAAGTTGGTCCCCTCCATAGTGTGCAGCCACTGAAATCATTGTACAGTTCTTGTTTTTAGTAGTTTACTTGGTTTTTCAGTCTGGCTCTCTAAGGGTGTCCCCTGTTTCTGCACTGTTTAATGGTCAGGCAATTATTTAGACAGGGATTATGCTCAGACACCTTGAACATATAATCCTTCCATTTTCTGTTGTCCAAGCTGCTTGTAGTTGGAGGAACAAACTCAAATCTACAGTAAGTCCTCAGGTCTCCCTTGGCATCCACTTTTTGCTGCACCCTCAGCCTCCCTGACTCACACATATTTTAGCAGTCGGCTAGGGAGGTATGGAGAGTGTATTATCTCAGCCCTTTCATGGCTGTCTAACTTCCAGGATTTTCCCCATTGCATTTCTGGGTGATCTTCTACTCACTCTGAAGAGAAGTTTTAACTGTTAAGAGGTTAAGCTAATAAAGTTGCAGTTTTTCACTTCCTTTCTAGAACTGATTCCTTGACCTCTAACTTATAAAACTGCAGGTATTCATTTTCCCGCCCCAGGCCAAATCTGTCACCTCCAGCTGATAAAGCTACTGGTTTTCACAAATAGCCCTCAAAACAAGCTCACCATTCCCACAGGGAAAGCTGTTCTCATCACCCAAGCTGAGGATTGGAGGAGGGGGAAGAGGCGTAGAAGCCCTGGGCAAGAAGACCACAGACTCACGACCATTCAGATGCAGTAGCAGGTTTTCAAGATTAAACACATCTAATGCCTTTGGTCATTCTCCAGTGTCCTGAAATGTTTGGTTTTGACAGCTTTGTCTGGTTTCATACTTGTTTCCTTCAGAAGGAAATTGCCCAACTTCTCACACCACCATTCCTGAAGTGAATCTTGGACTGGATTATTTTGATGTTTCTTGCACTCAAATATTCTATTGCCCACAGCTTTCAATTTAGATCAGAAATGTGCTGGTGTTGGGAGGCGGGTGAAGACGCATGGAAGGAGAGCTCTGAATTTTGCATAAGTCACCTCAAATGAGTAAAAATAAACGAGGAAGCCAGTGAAGCTGAACCCTGAACTGGGGGTTGCAGAGCCAGGGCCCAGTCTCAGTGCAGCTCGGAGAGATGTCTCTGAGGCTGTCTAACAAAAGTGTCTAAAAGGCCTCCCCTGGCCTCCCCGACCACATCTCAGTGCTCCCCATCTCCTCTCCTGGGTCTGCCCCCCACCTCCCCTCTGCCATTCTCAGAGATTCTATGAGTCTGTAAGGGTGAAAATGGCTGAAATTAACTTTCACTTCTGCTCAGACATCTGAAACCCAAGAGCCAGGTCATTTCCTTGTTCTTTTCTGAGTAGCTACAGGAATCATTTCCGTGTTGTTTTTTTCCGACCCCTGTCTGTTGGAGGTGGACAGAAAGGTGAAATTTTTTTTCCAGACCACACAAAGGCCAGCTTACCCTGAACCTCCCCCGCCTCCCAACGCGCCCGCCCACCCCCCCACCCCCCCCCACCCCCCTGCCCTGCAAATTCTCACATCCCCTCTCCCTCCAACCTAATTAAATAGATGAGCCAGAATCAGAGGAAATGGACTTTCCCTGTAGGAAGGTAGATTTCCTGCTTCCCTCTATATTCTCTGTATTCTCTGCTCCAAGCATGTGAAAGTTGTCCAAAAGTCACTTATTGAGTCTCCATTGATGAGAACATTAGACATAACTAGGCAACATCACTGGATCCTTGTTCAGTATAAGGTTCCACTTAGGTATCTGTCCTTAAGTGTTTGCATGATTCTCAGTCACAAATCATGTTCAAAGCCATCTCCTTGGTAACTTCCCCCAATAATCCCTGATGAAGCTATTGCCCCACCTCTGTCCTAATACTGCACCTTGTGGAGGCATCCATGGCTGCACTTACCTACCCCATTCGAATTGTCTGCTGGATCCTCTTCCCAGGTTCCTTGGGCTGAGTCCCTCAGGGGAGGGTCATGCCTATTTATATCTCTGCCCCCAGCTCTAGGTTGTGCTCACTACAGAGCAGACATTCACAAAAGCTTGCTGTGCTAACTGAATTGGAATAACAGGACTGAATAATCTCATCTCACATTAAGTTTTAGGTTAGAAGTTTAAGCAGGTCAATATTCTCTCAATTTGTATTTAATGCTTAGGTCCAACTCTCAGGTGTCAGGAGGTGAATAGAATAATAAATTAATAATAACTATGCTTGGGTGAGCGCAGCTGGTTCTGGACTCTGCTCTGGGCCCTTTGCTAGCCAGGATAGAAGACAAAACAGTTTGAAAGATCATATTTGGAACTTTGATTAGGCCCATTCACATCAGCTGCCAGTTCTTCGGAGCTTACTAAATATCATAATACTTTCTATTATTTGTTAACCTACTTGTTCTCACAAAAACCTTTCAGGGAAATAAAGCAGATTGCTTCAAAGGCGGCTTAGAATCCAAGAACTCTATGTTGCTATGAACACCTGCCAAAAAGCTTTTTTTCTACCAGGAGCTCACAGCGGAGTATTGTCTTAGTCCTGAATCCAAGCAAAGAAACTCCACCAGGACACTGAGACTGTGGACTGTGGTCCCAGGCCAGGGGTAGAAGCAGGTCTATCTCAATTCCAGCCCCAAGTTTTCTGGACATAAAGGCAGAAGAGGAGCCCACTCACTGGTTCCCTTTGGTCCATGGATCAGACAGCAGGTGACCTCCAAAATGTTTAATTAAATTATATTTAAAAAAATGAAAGCGAGTGACCAGTGGCTCCCCTGTCTGGCTGGACCAGCAAGTGTCCTGAGATCATCTCAGCAACCTCCTTGGTCCCATCAATCCCTCGGCTGGTGGAGTCCAGGACGGCACCTCACACTCTAGATGTTGAGGTCCATTCCCATTGCCTCTACCATTCTCTGCTCCTCTGAGTTTCTGTAGGCAAGGGAAGTAGCACATTGAAGAGGCTCTGAGAGCAGAATCAGCGACTGGCTAGCGTGCTATGAAAAACAAAACAACGGGGAAGTAGCATCTATTGAGAGCCAATTCTGTGCTCCTCTCTCACACCCATTCCATCATCCATGCTCATAGTATCTCACAAGCCAAGTATTAGCAGCACTATTTGGAAAACCAAAGCAACAAGGCCGAGAGAACTGTGGCACCAGCTCACACAGGTGGCACCAGGTAGCAGATCCCAGTGCTGCAACACAGAAAAAATACCTGATAGAATTATCTGGAAGTTTTACTAACTCTGCTAGGCTCATGTAGGAAAAACACTGCCCATGTTGGTAAACCAAAACCCCATGAGAAAACTTTCTGGTGGCACAGGGGCGTTGTGACCAATGTGGCCCAGGGCCAGAGAAAGACCAGCTGCTCCTGGGCCTTCCTCCTGGCCTGTTCTGGGGCAGAAGCGCCCATTGGACCCAGTGAGCCCATGGAAGCTTTCAAAGTGCTCGGCAGGGGCGGGGCTCCTTGGGGGCGGCTGGTGCAGCTCTGACCACAGACCGGAGAGCCTGCCACCTCTGCCGGGTGCTTGCCATCGTCAGGAAGCCACGAGCTGCGTGAACTGATTGAGACCGCTGAGATGGGCTTTTCCTTTAGGATTGCATCAGGCGTTGCTGGATGTGGTTAGAAGGCTGCTAAACCACAAGGATGCTGGGATTTGAAGAGCTATGGTGACAAGCCACTGAGCATTGCCAAGGTAAGACTCTGCATCTTCTGCCTTCTAGACCATCTCATTTCCTTAAACTGTGCAACCAGTGCTCTGAGGCCCGTGGTTGAGAAAGCAGGCAGGAGCGGCGCTATGGATGTTATAGATGGAGAGAAAGATATTAATATGATGAGCCACACCAATGTTCCACTGTTGGTTCGTTTTAATTTAATTTAATTTTTAATATATTTTTATTGATTTCAGCCGAAACCGGTTTGGCTCAGTGGATAGAGCGTCGGCCTGCAGACTGAAGGGTCCCAGGTTCGATTCCGGTCAAGGGCATGTACCTGGGTTGCGGGCACATCCCAGTAGGGGATGTGCAGGAGGCAGCTGATCGATGTTTCTCTCTCATCAATGTTTCTAACTCTCTATCTCTCTCCCTTCCTCTCTGTAAAAAATCAATAAAATATATTTTAAAAAAAAGAAAATGAAAAATCACAATATACTGAAATTTAAAAAAAAATGTATATTTTTTTATTGATTTCAGTGAGGGAGAGAGAGATAGAAACATCAATGATGAGAGAGAATCATTGATTGGTTGCTTCCTGCACAGCCCCTACTGCGGATCAAGCCCCGAAACCCAGGCATGTGCCCTTGATCAGAATCGAACCTGGGACCTTTCAGTCCTCAGGCTGACGCTCAATCCACTGAGCCAAACTGGGTAGGGCATTTCGTTTTAATTTTAGAGAGTTTTTTATTTATTAAAGCTCATCCATTCCAGATAGATTCTGTTTCTTAAACCGGAAAAGACAGTGAATATGCCATAGAGGAAAACGGACAAGTCTGAGGGCTGGGGATACGGGTGGGCACCCATGTGTCAGTTGGGGCAGGGGGTGGCTCCAAGCAAGTTACTCAGCCTCTCTGTATCAGAGGTAATGGCATCTCCAGGGCAGAGCTGATGGAGGCTGGAATGATGTATGGTTCCAGGTAAATGGTTGGTTGATGCTTTTGCTTTGTTTGTTTTCGAAAAAGGTTTTTCATTTTTAAGCCATTGGGGGCAGGGTGATGAAATAGGTTCAGTGATGACCTTTTTGGCTAAGAGATCTATTTGGCCAGCTGTGGAAAGGAAAGAACGGTTGATAACAACATCCTGAAGGTTTTTTTAGAAGTCTGGGGTTTTGACAGATTTTCCAGTCATTTTCTAATTGGCCACTGCTTTCACTCTCAACTATCCACATTACCAAGGAACTAAAGAATCGCTATCATTGTTCTTCCATAATTATAGAGGAGAGTTCTGCATAAGAGATATGTTGTAGACACTCCTCTGTCCTTGAGAGAAGCTGTATTCCCCGCACCTTGAGTGAGGACTGGAAGTAAAGATGGAAAGGGGGAAATAGAAACTCTATAGTGGTGAATCCGGGCAGACACCACCTTAGCCAGGTGATCAAGGTTAATGTCTTGAGGCTAAGTCATATCTTGTGTAACTTCTGCTATGATACTTGGAAAAAAATACTTCACCTTTGTGCTATTTTCCCCCCCAATGCATAACCCCAGTCTAGTCAGGAAAAAACATCAGACAAACCCAAACGGAAGGACAGCCTACAGACCACTTGACCTTCAAGTGTGTCAAGGTCATGAAAGATGAAGAAAGATGGGGAAACTGTCACACATCAGAGGAGAGTAAGGAGACAGGACAACTAAATCCAGAGCTCACATCCTGGATTCAATTGAATTCTGGAACAACATACACAAAAAAGTCATTAGTGAAAAATAGGTGAGATCTAACTGAAGTCTAATATTTTAATTGATGTCATTGTACCAATGTGAATTTCTTAGTTCTGGCAAATGTACCATGGTGAGGTAAAATGTTAACATTAGGGGAAGCTGAATGAAGGGTAGATGGGTAGTCTCTATATTATCTTTGTAATTTATTCATAAACCTAAAATTGTTCTAAATTAAAGAGCCAAAAAACTTATACTTATCCTGCCTCAGAAGGGGTCAAAATCTGAACATACTTGGGAAAACTGGCATCTATGGCCCAGTGGTCCCCATTATCTCTGAACATTCTGGAATATAGCAGACCTTTAGCTTTGCCTACCATTCTCTCTCCCAACCCGCACCTTATTCCAGGAAAGCTCTGTATTTCCCTCTCTTGATAGTATTTCTCACCAGTCATTTCTTTTCTCAATCAGCACACATATCTTGAGCCCTCAGTCTGTGTCAGGGGTTTTAGAGTCAAGTACCCCTCCCTTTATTGGCCCAGCAGAGCTCACTGGGCTGGATCAGGCTCTCAGGCCTCCAAGTGCTTGCCCAGCTGTCCAAGCCTGACCCCTCTCCAGTTAGGAAGCGGAAGACCAAGAATGGAGGCAAATGGGGGCCCAGACCCTGCACAGAATACCTGGATGGGATCTGCTTGCTGTCCTCTGGGCTCAGTCATCCCTACGGAATCTGTGGCCAGCCAAGCCACTGGGAGCTGTTCTGGGAAACACTCCCTTTGAGTGGAGCTGTGGCCTTAGGGGCCTAAAGTGGGACTCCAAGGGCCAGTTCCTGCTTGAGTGACAACCTGGCCTTGGGAACCCACTCTGCTGCCCTAGAATCTGCAGCAGCCAGATGAGACCACCAGGGACCAACATCCTTGCTTTTGAGGTTCGGGTGTGTGGATAGGTGATGGGGAGGCAGAGAAGCTTGGCACCCCCACCCCCAAACGCACACACACACACACACACACCCCACAGACACAGAAGAGCAGGTGTGCCCTTGTGCAAAAGTGATGTCTCAACCAGATTACAGAAATGCTTTGGAAGCAGGAGAGAAAGAAGAAAGAATTATGAAACCACAGGAAGACAGCACGTAGATGAAAATCACACTTAGATGAAGATCAGAACTAAAGAGTGGTGATTGCCACTGGGCCTACACTACCTTTCTTGTCGCTTCTCCTGCTCCCCACACTGCCAACCTGTACGCTTTGACTACACCAGCCACAAGGCTGCTTCTGAATGCACCAGCTGGTGCTCCTGCTGGCCCCTCTGCCTGGGGTCCCCTCCCCACTTCCTCATGCAGGCAAGCCCCACTTGTTCTCATTCTAAGGACCAGCACCAATGTCTTCTCTTCTGTCACCAGTGCCCAAATCCATCCCTGTGTCCCCAAGAACCTTCTGCAATGCTTAGGGCTATATGTTTTCAGATCTGCTGGTGGGTTATTTTGTTTTATTTTATGCCCAAGTTCTTCCCATTGGTCCTGAGCTCCTCCAGGGCAGAGACCAAGTCCTCCCTTCAGGTCCCAGCACCCAGAATAGTGCCAGCACAGGGTGGATACCCTGTGAAATGGTTCTTGAGTGAAAGAATCAAAGGACAAATTCTTGAACGCAAGTGAAGATTAAGACAGAAAAAGGCTTGAAGGAGCAAAAGCATATAAGAGTTAATGATCCCTCTTAGGCCCAATGAGCTCCAGTGCCATCGCCACATGGGGATTTTTTAGCAGAAGGAGATGGCCATGTGGGCCAGGTGAAGGTGCTGGGCCTGGGGCCAGCCAGCTCTACACTAGGACCTGGCTCTGCCACTTGTCACCTGGGGGAGTGTGAGCAAATGACCTAGCAATCTGTGAAATGGGAACAGTTGCATCTAGCTCCAAGCCCAGATGTGAGAACTAAATTGAGCAAGATGATCATAGCACAGAGGCTGAGACATACAAGAGCCTCTGCCATGGGCACTGCTGCCCCCACGTGACCTCCACTCCCCATGGCCCACTGTGTGGTTCATGCTTACTTCCAAAACCATGGTGGTTCTCTTGGGTGCCTTGTCATCGCTGGCCTCTGCACACCTTGATACCTGGGCTGCTGGACCAGGACCAGGTTGAGGCAAGCAAGACACCAGTGGCACAAAAGTTAAGAAGGCCCTGACTCTCAGTGTAACTCAAGTTCAGGGAATGTTAGTGTATGTTTATGTGGTATCTGCAAGGGTATGAGATGATCTGTGCTTAATGAATTAAGTCAGGAGTTCTGACTTCCATGACCGTGGACCCCTGGTGAATTTCACGGGTCCTATGAAGTCCTGAATATGAATGTGAGCTTTTCTGGACATGCACACCCTTCTGCCAAGAGTGCTTATGGCTTTCATCAGATTCCCCAAAGGATTTGTCAACCCAAAAATATTTGGAATCACCAAGTCCAATATTTACTAAGAATAATTTAATTTTCTCTCTCAGTGTGTTGTGCAGAAAAGAAAGTAGGAAGAATTTGGGCATAGGAGTAAGACAAGGCAGCCTGAGAGGCCCTATAGCATAGATGTTGGACACTCAGCCTTGTGACCAGAGGGTCTGAGTTCAAGGTTGAGTCCTGCCACTTTCTGGCTGTGTGACCTTGGGCAAACCAACAAATGTCTTCATTACATAACAATAGTTTGACCTCACCCTATACTGGCAGCCTTACCTATCTCAGGCAGATTACGAAAAGATTTATGCAATAGGCCTTCTCTCCCCCTGGCTGCCGGCACTGGTTTTCCTCCGGCACCCGGGACCCAGGCCTTTTCTCCGGCCGGAGCCACCTTCAGTCTTCGCTCCACCACTTCGAGCCTACGTATGCAAATTAACCGCCATCTTTTTTGACGGTTAATTCTCATATCTCACTGATTAGCCAATGGGAGGCGTAGCAAAGGTATGGTCAATTACCATGTTTGTCTATTATTAGATAGGAAGGATAACAGCACATCACAGGGTTATAAGAATTAAACCGAAAAGCCCTAATTATTAGGTGAGCTGAAATTGAAGAGTCCACAGTAGCTGCCAGTACTTGAGTGCCAAAAAATGTGCCAGGTGCTTTGTGCACACAGTTCACGTGATCCCCACAACAGCCCTATGATGACCCCAGGAACCACCCAGATGCAGACTCAGGTCTGTGTCACTCCGAAACCAGTGCTCTGACCTCTTCGTTAGTCGGTCTATTATTCGCTCACTGTGTGTGGATCATTGATTCAAGCACTTTAAAAAGGCAAGGGAAGCTCATCGCCCTTGCCGAGGTGAGCGCTTGCACATATGCTGTGAAGTCCTCCTCAGT